GCTTCGACTCTCGAATCGTCAGCGAATCACCTTGCGTTTTTTCAAAAAAGTATTTATCACGACGTAATTATCGCAAAAAATGTATTCATGACGTAATTATCGAAAGTGTGTATTGAAAACAGGCCCTTACCTGAGGGGGAGGGGGGCTGGGGGAGGCAGTGCCCCCTCCCCACTCGGAAATAAAATTGAAATTATGCCCCTCCCCTTATTCCACATTTTTTGCCATTTAAAAAAAATGGACAACGCGGTTGTTATATCCAAGCCAACAAATTCAACAAAGGCGTAGCCTAATTTCTTACTATATGCTGAGGTTAATTTTATATTTTTGTATTAATTTAGATGAAAATATCCACAAGTAGTGCGTGATTTGTTATTTTGTAAAAACCAGTAAAGCAAATCAAGTTTAATTATTTGTTAGTACTTTAATATTACTGTAATAATCGCTTAATTTCCATTTTGAACGGCTGTGAAACATGATATACAGTACTACAGCGACCGTAGAAGATTAATACTTGAAGCTCATGGCCTAAAACAAATAACCTCATTGTTAGAAGCTAGGCTAGATAGCAGACGGCTGAACTAACCCTATACAGAACTTTAAAGACTCACAAAATTGAGCACAAGTATAATACTTTTACTGTGTAGAAGAACGTTCCGTTCGATCCCAATTTTTCTGAGCTGGAAAGGAAAACTAGCTGCTAGCACGAAAGTCAAAGTCATCCCAACCCCTTTGTTACATTCTTTCTGCAGTGCCCCCCCCCCCCCAGAAATTGAGAGCCAGCTACGGGCTTGATTGAAAACGTGGAGAAATCACTCAAAAATGCTGCCATAAGATTATCGCGAAAAAATTGTCACGTAAAAAAAGTCGCGAAAATTTACTTCATTTCTCGTTCCGCAATATTGAGACAACTAAGTCATTGCCCCTCTCCCCTTAAAGTGATGTTGGACAAACGTTCAAATTGTTTTTTTAACATTGAATAGGGGGGAGCAGGGGAAGTAATCACAGAAATAGAACGAAATATCAAAAGTCTCATTATTTTTGCACACGATTGTAGTAGTGTGAAACAAGGCTCTGGTCTTTTGTTTTTGCGATCACATATCAGTCGAACGTTATTGAATAGACAACATGACTTGTAAAAATGTACCATTTATTACTTCTATGAATCGTCAAACTCTTCCATAGAAAATCAAATAAGCAAAGAAAATATAACAATACTTATTATTAGCATAACAAAATTACTGGATGCATGCAGATTGGTTGAGAGGAGTACAATTATTTCATTAATCATGCACGGAGAGCAAAATTACTGAACTCTGATGATTGGCTAATAATGAGGGCATTTTTTTTTAATTCAGGGCATAACTACTTGTGCCTCATTGGCTGAGACGTAAGCGCGGGAAGTTCCTTGTTTTAAACAGCAATAAAAACAATGCATGGCTTCTTGCATTGTCGTTGCAGATGTAATAATGCTATTGATTCGAAGAATTGATAACTTCTAGTGAAAACTCGAATACTAGAAAAAGTACAATTTTATGGGTTGGAGTATTTAAGAACTGGGCGGCATTAAGGAGACATGGAGAAATACGAGATTCAAGAACATGACAAGTTCACAATAACTTACGAATAAATTTGCCCTCTATGATTAAAAAGTAATCACACAGTTCCTCGTAAAATTAAGGTTTAATTTCACTTTGTGAAACTTTGAAAACACGCGTGAAATTAAACCTTAATTTTACTGCTTATTATAATAATAATAGACTTTATTTAAAGAAGATATTACAAAACCAGTAATCTTACGCTGGCCCTTCTATAACTACGACTATTAATAAACAAAGAAATATATTAAATTACATGAAATATTTATCATTTATAGACCCGGAGCGAGGGGGATTCGGCGGAATATTACCCAAGGGTAATATTTCGACGAATCCCCGAGCGGAGGGTCTATAAATGATTTATTATACCGAACGTTAAAGAACCCACCAAGTTCAGAAAAACTTTAAAGTGCCCCTAACCTCAATTATTTTATCATCTCATTCTTACGAACTTCTGATATGATATAATAACTTATTTTTAAGATTTTCGTTTGCTCACTTTGTTTCTGAGATATTTCAGTTTGTTTGATATGCAAATATCCGGAATTTACGTCACAAATGCATAATGATTTAAAGTAAAAGCTTGTATATCTTATATTCACTATCGAGTTTAATTCATTAAAATGAAGTTTGGAGTTGTGGGAGGATTAAATATGCCTATGTAAAACACCATTTAGCCTTTTTATTTCATGATATTTAACTGTACCTTACATTCTTTGATCAGTCATTATTCATATGTGACGTAAATTCCGGACATTTGCATATCAATAAAGCTGAAATAACTCAGAGACAAAGTGAGCAAACGAAAATTTTGAAAATACGCTATTATATTATTTCAAAGGTTCAAAGATTGAGATGATAAAAATAATTGAGT